ATTCAGTAGACTAAGATTGGAGTACGCGCGGGGGGAAGCGCAGCCTCCTTTCAAAAACGCAGAGAATCAAGCAGAGAGAATGTGTTCCCCGTTAAAAGTTCGCGGGAATGTGTACTGAAAAGTGCGTTAATGTATTTCAGTAAAGCAGCGTGTGTGGTTTTGATCATGTGTTTCGTGTTTTCGTTTTTTTTTTTTTCATTTCACCCCCAATTTAATTGGATGTTAAGTTACTCTTTGAGAGGAGTAGTTCGCCATCTTCAGTGTTTCTGACCCTTCCTCGCCTCCCAGTGCCAGAAGCTTCCATTAAACCAAATCCCCGGCCGCCCGTGTGCGGAATGACGCCTCCTCCGAGGCTTCAGCAAGGCCCAGCGGCGCCGTTCGCGGCGTCAGGCCCAGCACCTTCCTTCTCCCTTGCCCCAGCCGAGAGTAAACCCGGATTCCTGCAGGAGGGAAACAGAAGCGGCGTCCAGAGGAGCGTCCCGGCGGCTGAAGGGTTAAGGGAGCGGCTCGAACCGGCCCAGCGCCGGGGGCCTCGGAGGAGGGCGCGGAGGCCGAGGCCGAGGCCGGAGGCGGGAGGCGGGGGGCGGGAGGCGGGAGGCGCCGCGCCGCGCGCACAGACCCTCCAATAAACACAAAGGAGGGCCTGGGGAATAGAAACCCAAATCCACTTGTAATCGTACAAGAGATGCGGGCATAATTACTCGAGCAACCTAGATTAAGATTGATGAGCCTTTAAAGCGGCGCTTCGGATCGACCGCCTCGCCCTTTGGAAAGAAAACCTCGTGCGGGCGAGACGCACCCGGCCCCGCTCGGCTCCGCGGCGGCGGCGGCGGCGGCGGCGACCCAGGCCCCGAGTCCGCGCGCCCCGCCTCGCCCCCCCCCGCCCTCCCCGCCCGGCCCGTGCGGGCCCCGGGGGGCACGGAGCAGTGACCTCAGTGAGAGAAAGGGCTCGGCGTGGCCCGACCCGGGCGGTCGGCGTCGCGGGGGAGGCCGACGCCGACGCCGTCCGCTCCCCGCCCGCCCCCGTTGAGCGCCGCAGGAGCGGGCCGCGGCTGTGCGTGCCTCCCGCAGCGGGAGCGGCCGGGCCTTGCGCAGGCCCGAGCGGGGGGCGGGGGCGGGGCGGGGCGGGGCTACTCCCCGGAAACCTGAGCTGCTCCGCAGTCCCCGCGCGCCCGGCCGGGCCCGGCCTGCTGGCGGCGGCCTTGGCGGCGGCGGAGGTGCCGGTGCGGGCGGGTGTCGCCGCCAGGAGCCGCGCCGAGGGGCCTGAGCCCGAGCGGCCGCGAGGGACCTGCCTTTTAATTGCCTTTATCCCACCGTTGTTGTGACTCCTGCGACTATATGCATTTCTGGGCGGGGGGGGGGGGCGGAGTTGGAAGGGAACTTAATGCGCCCCTGCTACCAAAAAAAAAAAAAGAGAGAGAGAGAGAGAAGGAAGAAAATTAAGAAAAGAAAGAAAGAGAAAAAATTCCTGATTTCCCTGTCTGTATTTTAAGTACAGAATAGCAAAGAACGCCTCCGCTTTCGGGGAGCCTAAAAGGGGCAGTTGAGCGATCCCCTTTGAGTTTATGTGATTCAATACGGAATTTTCGGCATTGACTCAATCGCGGGAATCGAAGTAAGCACCTCAGGAGGCACACTCCCTGAAAATCTTTACTGAGCATTAGTCCCTCTAGTTTCAGAAGTTGAGAGATGGTACCTCTCGGACGCTTTTCTGAGAATCGCCTTGTTCAAGCGTCTTCCAATTTCGTCACTTTTGACTGATTCGCGGCGGAAAAAAATCCCTGCTACGATTTCCGTTCTTTTCTACACAAGACACGTATTTAATATCCTCGCGCGCGTGGATGCGGCGCGGTATCAGCCCTGCCGCAAACTGCAGCCCGGTCAGTGCAGGGGGACTCATCCACCCCCCGCCCATCCGCGGGGACCGCCGCCGCCCAGAGGGACGGCTCCACCCCGAGCCGGAGCTGCCCTAAGGGAGAACCGGGGCATTTGTAGGATTTGTAGGCGGAGGTTACAGACTGCCTTGCTGAGGGTCACTTACTGGGTATTCTGACCTCTCGGGGTTTTGTAGAATCATCCGCCTTTACTCTCGCTGTAAGATAACGTGCCCGAGCTAAGCAGACCCCATCTCCCGTGAAAGAAGCGGGCCGCGGGACACAGGCTCCACGGTCTCGGTGCATCCTTAAAAATAAGGACCTGCGGCACCTTTTGGGAGGGAGCGGGCGCGGGCGCGGGCGCGGGCCACAGGGACTGAGCCTGACTCCGGTGCCCTTGCCTTTCAGGCCCAGTGGTTCTCAGTACCCCAGCCCAGCTCATCGCTCCTGTGGTGGTGGCCAAGGGGACTCTCTCCATCACCACGACAGAAATCTACTTCGAGGTAGATGAGGATGATCCTGCCTTCAAGAAGATCGACACGAAAGTGAGTTAGAGTAATTCATATACAGTACTAGTGGCTTTTGTGGCAGGAAGTGGTTTTCAATTTTGCCTGGTTTTAAATGACAGCGGGGGAGGGGAGCACATTTCCATTTTTGTCAGAGGAAATAAAATGAATGAAATGACACATGCCCTATCTTACGGGGCTGAGGAGTATATTAATGATTCTAAGTCCTGTGTTACCAGAGCGTGCACATTTTAACAGTCTCTCCATGAGTGCCTCTGTGTGCACTTGAGTAGATTTGGTAGGTAAGCCAACTGTTCCAAAGTCTCTGGAGTGCAGCATCCCAGGCTCCCTGGGAAAGACTGGGAGGGGTCTTCTGAAATATCTTAAGATGACTTTCAGTTTCCAAAAGTCTAAATTGCAGTGTGAATCACCATTCATTGAAAAGTTGTAAGGAAACTGGGGTGGGGGCATTTTAAGTATAAATTCGTCTCCGTTATTACATGCGTTTTCTCATCTCCTGAAGTAAGAATGAGTTTTACATGTGCATTCAAGAGTAAGAGAAACTGATCCTCTGAGAAGCATTGATTTAAAATGTATATAGGTAGTATATACTAGCAATCAGATGTTTTGTGTTCTTCTGTGGGTGTAATGCCAGAAAAATACAAATTGGGACAATTCGAAATACACAGATATTTATTTGTTTATGATATCTTTCCGTGTGGATTTTTAAAACCTGGTATTAGGACAGCGCAACACCTCTGCACTTTCTTTCAAAATCGGTCTGGTTGTTGTCTTAACTTGTATGTCACTGTGCAGTTTGTAAACTTTTTTCCTGAGGTTAAGAATCCAGTGCCATGCTAGACGTTCAAGCATCAGTTTACAAAGATCTTTCTTTGCAGTATTGCTCAGAAGCAATTATTCGAAAATAGTCAAAGACAAATGCGCCCACAGATCCAGAACTTTATTATTTATGTGTAATTTTTATATAAAGTATTGTAAAACACTATTTGTAGAAGAACAACAACTAAAATCTATCCCTGCCTGAATTAACTATCTGCCTTAAGGCCTATAGGTGATTAGCACTTTCAGCACTTGTTGACTATTAAAATACTTGGAAGGACAGTCATAGGACTTCTTGCACTTCTTGCTCCCAAAGGATGCAGTGTTTAAAATGAATCTGAATGTAGTGTATTTGCTTTTTAAGTAATTGAAAGTTTGTCTTGATGCTTTTATCATTAGCTTGCCCTGTGAAGTAAAAAGAAATTTTGGATTTCTGATGAACTTATTCAGCTAAGGGAACACTTACTGCATTAAATAAGATTTGACATAGAATGGTCAGAAATAATCTTTATTTGATTAGCATAGTTACACAAACTTTGAAACTTCCACTGTGACTGTAAGTTCACTTTCTCTCAGTCTTTACCTTCATGACATATTTTTGCCTTATGTTGTCAGAAATGCTACAGAACTACCAATCCAGCAGAGTAAGCTTTCAAGGGTAGATTTAAATGTGTCTGTTGTCGAAAGAAAGAGTCTCATAAGTAGACCATTATCTTCTGTAGCTGTACAAAGAGTTTTCTGCAGTATGGTGGGGTTTTGTTTTTAATAATTTCATTAGCACACTCCTCAAAATGTCTAAAATACTCAAGATGGAGCATTCCATCTTTTGATAGGAAAACAATTTAAAGTGAGACACAACAACTTATATTTTACTTCATTTATTAGCTTCTAATTAAATAAAAACCAGCAACAGAAATTAAAATCTAAATCACAAAAGTAGTTATCCAGTGTATTTCAAGTGCATTTTTCAAATATATAATTCAGGTATTCAAGCGTTATTATATAAGCTGAATTCAGATTTCTTTGAATATATTTAAATAAAATTTCAAGTATATTTATGGAATGTTAGAAATAGAACAAGCATTATATTCGAAACAAAATGTAAACTTTTTAAAGTTCAGACACTTTCAAAGACAGATAAAAGTACCAGGAGGAAAGCTACCTTTCAATGGTATATCTTTGTTAGTGGAAAACGTCTGGAAGTATCCAAGAAACGGCAATTTAACTTCTGTTCACCAAATCACAAAACACCAACATCCACACTTTCAAAGACAATGTGAGATCACAATATTTGTTACAAATCAAAATATACATTACACATTCCTTCAGATGGTATATCCAAATCGTGTTTACTCACAGACAGATGCACCTAAATCACCAGGATTGCTATAATCCATTGATACTCAGGCAGAGTGTTCGCTGTGGTCTTGCAGTACAGCCGGGTTGTTTTCCGGATATTACGGTGTACTTTTCAAGGGAGATATGAAATCCGTCGCAAAGAAGTCTTGTAATACTTGTGGGTTTGGGTTTTTTTTTTGTTTGTTTGTTTTTTGTTTTGTTTTGTTTTGTTTTGTTTTCTCCATCCTCTTTCCCTACTTCTTTCTCTCCCCTTGGAGGGGTGGGTGAGATGATGCCTAAACATTGTATTGTTACTCCTTTTTAAGGAAGACATTGTTTGCACTGACAAGTGGAATAGTAGATAGGAATCCAACAGGAAGTGTACACTGAATTAGGTCTTTGAGAGGAGTGATCACATTTCGGCTTTTGATTAAATCATCCTCTAAAGTTTTTCCAAACTTTTCGGGTTGGTCAGGATCTCTCTTGCCAGTCGCCACGTTTGTTTGGCAGCATTCTCCAGAGCCGAGTGAGGTTTGCCTTGAAACAGATCTAGGTTCGGTAGGAAGTAGTGAGGACACCGCCGGCACTGCAGGCAGGAGATAAGTTGCAGCAAAATCCCGTTAAGCCGATCACCCAGGCAAGACTCGTCCCAGTCCGACTCCCGGGGGTGCTTTTCACACTCGTAGGAAACCAGAGTCTTCATGTGGTAATTGTTCAGGGGCTGGCCTGGCAGTTCTAGGTGGCGATCCCGTAAGGTTTTGAGGATGGAGAGGCATTTCTTCCGGCAGCCCCCCATCTGCAGTCTGTTCTCTGCTTCGGCGAACTGCAGCACCCAGGCGTCGCTCTCGGCCGAGCTCTGTTTGCCGGCCAGGGAGTGGCACTCCTTGGACAAGAGATTGAACCCTTCTGCCTTGACCTCTGCCACCCGGTTGGGTCCCGGCCAGGGGATGTGGGGGAGAGGCCAGTGGGCAGCACTCCTCGGCCAGATCCCCGTACATTTAAAAGCCGGGGTGATCTGCACCACGTACCTATCTCGGATTCGCAGTTTCACTTCGCTGGTGTCCGCCACCATCTTTACCACATCCCTGTAGCTACATTTGTCTACGGCTTGAGCCACCAGCGTCTGAAACCTGGACCGGATTTTGCGCGCCGAGAGGTAGCCGGAGGCGGTAATGAATTCCACCCAGAGGGACATGCTCCTCTTGCGCCCGTCGCTCAGCTTCAGCACGGCACAGCCGGGCAGCGAGCCGTCGTCCACAAAGTTGAACACCCCCATTTGGTTCAGGTAAAGCACCACCTCGAATTCGGTGGGGGAGATGACCTCGAGGCCCTCGTAGCGATTGTCCATCTCGTTGAGGGAGCTGATGAACCGGGGCTCCTGCACTTCCACTTCTTTAAGCACGTCGGAAACTACTTTGCAGACTTCCCGGATAGTTTTCGCAATGGCAGCTTTCCTGGCTTGGCATTTTTCATTGTAGTATTTATTCAGATGGTACACCAGCTTGGCCTGGGCTGCGATCATGTTGGGGCAGAGATCCGGATTGTACACCGGAGTCTCGCAGTAAGCTGTGGGATCCAATGCGGCTGCTAGAGCTGGAGCCAACTTCGGTGGAGAAACGGGCCGCCGCGCTCCGAGATGTAGGGAAAGGCTCTCCGACGTGTGGCAGCGCTGGGCTCCCCGCCGCCGCGCTCCCCTTCCTTGTATCTTTGAGCCCAGACGGTCTTAAAGTGAAAGATGGTCCTCCCCCCTCTCTCGCTCTTTCTTCCTCTTTTAAAGAATCCTTGTGTGAGAGCAACGCTGGGAGAGATCACCTTCTCAGGAACGAAAACAAAAGTTGCGCTGAGACCCAGCAAAGCTCTTCCAGTAGTCAAAATAATCAGCCCTTTCCGTATTTATTTACGCTTTCCCGTAATCATTGTGTGTGCTGGACTGTTAATCAGATGGAGGAAAAGTGTGCTGAGTGTGTCGGGGGTGAGCGTGCGTGTGTATATGTCAGAAGCTGCTGCTGTTGGTTTGTCTAAGAGCCCAGATGCACTCGTGTGGAAATTATAAAGGCAGGGCCAGGCAGGCTGGCGGCCAATCGCCACTGGGCTCGTCACGACAGCCTCCTTCAGCTCCAGCCCGGCTAATTAATCCCCCCTCGTGCATATAGGCACACAAACTAAAGGTAGGAGGCTGCTGCCGGCAGAAAACCACCCAGGCCACCTAGACAGCTTTGGAAATCAAGAGGAATCTCTCAGCTTTGGTATTAATTGAAGCATATTGACGTTTTGAAAAGACTTGGCAAAGCGGTTCTCTTCTGTGTTGAAAACCCTGCTTGTCTTTTGACCGCGGAAATGCAAATACAGGTGTATTAATGGTCATCCATCAATTAGTGAACTAGATGGGGTCTTCTAAGACAAAAGTCAGTAACTTGCGTTTAGAGGAAGATAATTAATGTCTGTTAATCCTTGAGGTCTTTTTAAACGCAGGTTGAAAGTTTGCTCTTTCATGTATCTGCAAGTTGGCCTTAGATGGACCGGTGCCTGTGTAATTTGGGGGATGTTTGTATATGTTAGCATGGGTTTGGATTTTTTTTTTCTTTTTTACATTACGCCGTGTTTTATCTCTTTTTCCTCCCCCTCATTTGCAGTTGTTGAAAGGAATCTGGAAATTATTGCTTTGTTAGATGTTGTCTACTCCAGTTTAAGTTAGGACGTTTAAAAAATGTTTAGTGTTACTCCCCCTCTCCCCAACTGCAGCCCTCTTTGTACTTTGATAGTCTTGCCCAACATAATCAGGACAGTAAGTTTTGTACCCATTGTAGAAATATTTTAAAAATAACTTATCTTTGTGATGGAGAGATCATTACAATATGAGTTCATAGTGAGCTGTATTTTAATATGTGAAATCAAGGCAAGATCCTAGAGATGAGACCTACTGGCAGATAACTGTTCTGAAAATGTTCAGGTTTAGGGTTTCTGGCTTGCTGGTTGATGTATGATTAAGGATATACCTCTTTCTCAAGTATCCTTAGTGGTGACCGGACAGTAGACTTTCAATTGTATATGATTTCGTGTGATTTGGTTGAGGGAAAAAATCAGGTAAGATTTTGAAAGAAAACTAATTTGCAGTCATCCAGGCTTTTTAAATTTAAGTATCATTTTGGAAGACTTTGAAAGAAATCAACATTTCTACATTTTGGAACCTTGAAACGGGGAGGGGGGAATGGATTTCCATAGAACATGTTTTTTGTTTGGGTCCCCCCCCCCCACCCTGGTGATACCAATTGTGTCCTTAATGCACAGGAAAGGAAATAAATACCATTTAGGGATTATGTAGTGGTTTTAAAACCTAGGCAGATTTTTCTTGCCTACCTTAAATTTAGATGCCATGTCTTTAAAATTAAGAGTATTTCCAGCAAAATTTTGTAACTCCGACTAACAGGGTCTGTAGGCATTTTCTTTCGGAGCCACTTTCAACAAGATCTTGTTCAGGGCTCCCACGTTTTTTTCTCCAGCTTTCGATTAATTAATTAATTAATTTTGCACAGGTACGAGCATCCCAGAGCCACATATTATTTACTTTCTCCTTATCCAAGAGTGATAGATTCTGATTTAGCTTAAAATAGTACATTAGATTTGGGGCTCAGGGCATCATCTCCTCTATTCCCCAGGAGCCTTCCATTCCCCTAGGAGCAGGGACTGGGAACACCCGAACAAACCCCTCCCCGTTTTGCAGGCTTTGCGGGTGAACGCACTGCTACCTTTTGGCAGCTGGAAGAGGAAGAAGAGGCAAATCCGAGGCGGAGAGCCCGCGCGGCCCAGAAGGCGAAGACGTGCGGGGTCCCTGGGGAAAAGCCCTCTCGGGCCCGCACCCGGCGCTCGCCCGCTCTCCCTCGCGCCCGCCGCTGCGCGCTCCCGGGCCAGCAGCTTCTTACCCCTCCCCGGCCCCGGGGGGAGGTGCTGGTGGTTGGCTGGTTCCCCCCCCCCCCCCGTTGTGTGCGCGTTACTCCCTACCGCCCTCGGGGTCCTCGGGGTCCCCGGGGTCCCCCCTGTGCTGCAGGCCCCGGCCCCCGCCCGCCGGCTTCCCGCTCCGCGGCCGCCCGCCCTGCGCCCGGCGCGCCCTCCCTCGGCGTCGGAGCAGAGAGGCTCCGCCAGGCCCTCGGCCCTCGGCCCTCGGCCCTCGGCTGCTGGGGCCCCTGCGGGAAGCCCGGGGCGCGGAGGCCGGCGCCGTCGGGGGCCGTGGCGCGGAGGCCGGGACGGGCGCGAGGGGCGCGGGCGGGTCTCGCCGGGGCTGCGCGCAGGTGGCGCGTCGTCGGGGCTCGCTGTGCGGCTTAATTGGGTTAAGGCGAAGCTAAACACCGGAGCACTTGGTGCAAGCTAATTGGTGTAACCAGGGCCTTTTCACCGACGATTTGCACTTTGAAGAAGAAAAATGGATGGTGAGAAAAGGGCCAAGAAACTCGTGCGTCCTAGAACGTTCCAGGGAAGCGAAGTCCTTCTGTTTCACGGACACCGGCCCCGCGCTCTGCGGGCCGCCTCCGCCGGCGCCCTCCGCGCCGGGAGCTGACAGCGATTTACATAACACAGGATTCCCCGCCCGCTGCGCCACGAGGCGCCACGAGGCGCCCCGCGCCCCGGAATAATGCCCAGTGCGAGTACTCCTTGGTGCTGCGACACAGTGTCTGTCTGTCACACTGAACACGTGAAGTGAATTGCCTTCTGTAGCCGAATCCTTTCGGTGATCTTGGACGCCTCTCATTGTGGAACGGAAGGTTGAACTATTTATTGGAGGACTGTGTTTTTCCGGCCCTTAATTTTTTTTTTTTAATTGAAATGACCTATGGAGAGGAATTTAATATATATAGTGTATTTTTATGTAATTCGGCCGTTTTTCATCTGGGCTCCGGAGATAGTTTTGTGATAGATTCAAATTTCCTTTGCAACATCATTTGACCTATTGAACTGGTTATTTCACAGGATGATGCACTACCTGGAGATAGCTTAACATCAATTTATTTACTTAATGTGGGAAGTTATAAAACAACTCCAATGATTCCAGTCTTACTTATATTATTTTCTTGTTATAAATATCATCTTGGTACTTGGATAGAAGCTTGTGTGTGCCCCATGCTTTAGGATATGAATGCTTAATTGTTTTCAGTGGTATGCTGTGCAGGCATCTTTGACATGAGCTAATAATAGAATGATAATTGAAGAAAACTGACCTAATCGAAGAAAAAAGCCAAGAATCTCATGATTTGATGATAGTTTGAGCTGCTTACATTTGAATGATATTTGGGATTTTAAGGTCCAACTAACTTGCCTTTTTCATTTCATTTACTTAGGTTACTAGGCAACGTTGATTTAAAAATGCACCATTTAGGAAAAGAATCCCAAAAAGTCACAAACACACCATTATCATAAATGTTAGTAGCATTAATGAATATAATACTATTAAATGTTGTGATCCTTAACATTTCAAAACATTCAAAATAATAATGGCAAAATAATTTTTTCCTCAAGTACTGTTGCCCAAGTAACTTATTCCCCCCTTCTGTAAACCTACTTAATTTACATGGGATACACAATGTAATGCATAAATAGTCACCTTATTAGGTTTAAAGAAAAACTATTATGTTGAGAAGTGTAGCAATGCAAGGTTTCTGTGTGTTTTTTTTTTTTTTGACTAGTTTAAATTTGAATTACATGTTCATAAATTTAAGCCATTTCCTCTGGAAAAATGTATCTGTTAGGGAATATGCATATACATGTTAAATGCTCACATAGATACTGTTTTGTGTTTTTTCATATTTGCTGGCTGCTCTTCTATTCACAAGTATTCATGAACTTAAAGTTTTATTTTTTTAATATGTGCTTATTACACTGGGGAGATAAAAAGAATATGAAGTTGAGTTTATTAAATTATTTATCCCTACTGCTGGAGTGGCTTTGAAGGCTCATTGTGCGCATCTGATTTCTGCCTCCCCCCACTTCGTTTTGTAAATGCACCCAGGCTATTTCATCTGCTTCATTCTGCCAGACACAATATATTTCTTTTTTTACACTAGAGAAATTAAAGACAGATATTTGTGCAGGGTTTTCTTTATGTGTCACATTAAATAAAGTAAAATAGAGGGAGTTTTTCTGGTAATCTAATTTGATGGCATCTCTACCTTTCTTCCAGTTGTAACTCCTTGTATAAGAATACTTGAAACAAAATAGCTTGAGAGCTTCAAAAGTTTCAGTGATTTCTTAAAAACAGTTATTTTATATTTTAATATCAGGTTTTTGACCAAAAAAGCAGAGAATTGAGGTCACTGTTGACACAGTTTAGGCCTTGTTTTGCTGTTTCAGCTGGAGCACCCTGATAATTGAAGTTCTTCGAAACATTATTTCCTTAATTCTTCACCTGAATGATCAGGGCTGCAGCCTCAGTTTTGCTCAAACCCTCCCCCCCCCCCCCATATAGGTCCTCTAGTCAACATTTGTTGCGGGGACTACTTCCCCCCCACACACCACAGTAAATTTGTTATTGTT